TCACTCCAGCAGTTCTTCTTCGCCCCTTATCCTGCCTCGTCTTTCGCTCCTCAGCTCATCACCTCGTCCCCTTCGCCCTCTCTGAGACTCAGTAGACATGAAGTTGTTCTATTGTGTTGCCGCTCACATCGTGTTATCATTACAGCCGGCTATAATTGGAAACAGGAGTCTTTTTTTATTAGGATGCATGGTGACACGGGTATCTGTCTCTTCTGATATTCCCACACTGGCTAATTTCCCCCCTCATCTGCATTCAACAGAGCGGAGACAAGAGAGCGTGACAGCGGATACGGACTCTGATGCAGACATACCCCTCTGATGTAAACACACAGTAGATTACACTATGCCTGAAATTCAGAAAATGCATTAAACTGTAAAATTGTTCTTGTAAAGTTGAAGTTAGATGGAAAGTGGTTGTAAAAAAAACACACTTTATTCCATAGAATGACAAAAAATCAAATTTGATTTATGGCATCCTTTTTATGTCTCTTTTTCTGGGCCTTTGTACAATATCCGTCAGTACAAGATAAATGTTTTCAAAGGATATTTTTTAAAACGGTATTGATATTGATGATTGAGTGGGGCAGTGTTGCATATTTTTTGATGACGATAGTAGTCTTATTTAGTCACTTGTTAGCAATCACACAGAAGCTTCTGGCATTCATGAGTGGGGTATTAACTGACACGTTTTATTTCTTGGAACAAAAGGTGAAAATCTCATTAGCAATCAATCAATCAATCAAATCAATCAATTGTAGGCTTGTCAATCAATCAATCATTAGCTTGTGTTAACCAAATACATTATTTCAGGCATCTACTGTAACCAAAAACACATTAAAAAAAGTGAGACTAGTCGATTAGGGCTGAACGATTAATCGATTTTAAATCAAAATCGCGATTTTAAATGATACAATTAAAAAATCGCAAAGCCCGCAATCTTTTTTACATTTTTTTCTTTTTCTTGTGTGTCAGTCATCCACACCAATCAGAAGTGCTGTGCTCCACATGTACCAGCCATTGTTAACCAATCAGAAGTGGCCCATGATAGAAGGTGATAGACAGATTGATCCAATCACCTGCCAAGTATTTTTGAAAGTGCCTGCCTTTTCCAAATGGCTTCCAATGGAGCTTTCCTAGATGGTTTGGTGAAACAAACCACCTGAGTCAGGTTAGTAATGCGCCATCACATGTTTCACATCTATTACAGGGTGAATCTTAAACTGAAGCTTGACTTTAAAGCAACCCAACGGAAGTTTCATGTAAATGTAGTTGATAAGACCTTCCTAGCCGGAGATATGGCCGCATTTTACAATAAACTTCCGTTGGGTCGCTTAAAAACGAAATCGCAAATTGAATCGAAATATCTTTCAGAAAAATCGCAATTAGATTATTTCCCCAAATCGTGCAGCCCTATAGTCGATCAAAAGTGATAAAATGCTGACTAACTTTCAGGTTTTAGGACTCATTCCTGCACCACTCTAATTGGAGAATAATAGTTTTTTCAATGTTCATCTTAATTATTGTTTCTTTGAGCAAGGACAGATACATCATAAATCACATATTTCAGCAACTCAAACTTTCTGGAATACTTTCAGTCCTGTAACTGCTTGATGCAACCCTACGGACACTAAATACACACTGCAAAGATGTTTGTGAGAATACAGTCATGTCTGGGGTGTCTGTAAGAGTGCTTGGCTCTGCGTGAGGAGGCTGTCTAACAAAGGGTGCACACACTTCATTAGCACTGTCCGTGAGAAGGAAGGAATCTTACACATGGAATCACTCCTGATCTCTCTCGTCTCAGGCTACTGCTGTGCTGAGCCCGGGCTCGCTGGCTTCCTTCCTTCACAATCCTCCTGGCCTCTGCCTAAGCACAATGCTCAATTTGTTCACATCCAGCGCCAAAGAAAAGCGAGACAGACAAAGCATGGGAGATAAGGTTACAAACTGTCCTTACACCCACAGGTGTGGAACTCTCAAAGCCTTCACAAGAAAAAAGAACACCTAGCTCCCCGCCCAATGCCACCACCAACATCTCCGCTTTCTGGCTAAATGTAAGAATGGGCTTGAAGGATGGACAGATGATGATGATGATGATGATGATGATGATGATGATGATGATGAGGAGGAGGAGGGTGAGGGATGAGTGAGAGCTAATAATGGAGAGCGCTACAATAGGGGGATTGGCGCGTTTAGAGGGAATTTAGTCCACACACTCACACTTCCACACAGAGAGCGCTAACTCAGCTGCTATCTCACATTGCATCACGCTGCTCTGCACCTTCACACTAGCACTCGCCTTTGCTCTCTCAATCTCTCTGCCTTGCTCGGTTTCAATGGCATCAAATGGTTGGAGTTGACAAAAGAAGAGAGGGAGTGCTGCCAGCTGCCCCAGTGAGATCATTCCCACACAGACTCTTGCTTTCAGCCCACTACCATGAACATGGCCTTGACCTTATCCCTTTTCACAACAATTACTTTATTCTACTAATTTACACAAAGTAACTCCACTTGTCTTTCTACAATTGCCCACTAGACACGTCCAAAGACATGCATTTCATCAGCATTTGTCCCGTGAAGCACCATGGGGTTTAATGCCTTCAAAATGTACTTTGGGGTACAGCAAGCATCTTCTGTTCCCACCAGAAGTGGCAGTCTGGTGTTATAACCAGTATGTTGAATTGCTAAAGAATAACAATATTAACACCAAGAGGGAACTTGTATTTATGATATCTTATTGCAAAAACCTTCTCTTTGGAGTTTCTCTGTGGTTTTAAAATGACCTCCATATGAGAAACATGAGGGTATTGATACATGTTTCCTCTGGCTATATAACAATACAATGTGGAGTTCCCCAGGGATCAAGCGTAGGCCTCTTGATTTTTTATATTTCTTGTAAATTGATCCACCAATAGCATTTGTTTTTGTATATGGTGAACATGAGCAAATTATAGCACTTTGATATCAACAATGTAACAGATACTTTTCTTAGTGGTACCGTTTTGTTTTAATTCGAACATTATTAGTCATTTGAATGTTTTCTTGTCATCTGCTTGTTAATATAAATTCATGTAATATTCATTCATCTATTTAATCAGCGTATACAAATAAGCAAGCAGTTGATTTGACAAGTTATGCATCCTTCCACCCATCCATCCATTCATCTATGGAATTCATCCATCTTCAACAGCATTAACGTGGCTTTAGTAGGATGAGTCCTCGTAGACCCGGCTGGACTTTGTCTTTCGCTGTCTCTTTCTCCATTACTCTTTGCTATTGGTCCCCAGGGTTGTCACAGCAGCTGCAGAAAGACTCTAATTGGCCGGTTGGAATGATTTTTGTTCTTCTTGTGAATAACTTGCTGTCAGTGGCGTGTGGAAGGCGTGCTGTTGTTCCTGTCTTTTTTCGTCTTCTTTTACATTTGCATTCAAATTGTACAAGAGAGGTAAGTGTGATTGAATTATCCCTGAATTACCTAATTGAAAACAATGAATGAACTCTAGCTCTTTCTCCCATGCACAAAGGTACAACCACACCTAATTTTTCAAACATTCAAATCTGCTCTCCACTTGAATAGGTCAAAAAGTCCATATTTCTTCTTAGTGGTGTACACTCTAGGTCACATGTGTCAAACTCAAGGCCCGGGGGCCAAATCAGGCCCTTTGTGGATTTAATTTCGGCCCGCAGGATAATTTCTAATTACTATTAGATCTGGCCCGCCGGTATATTTCTCGCACACCTTCACTCAATCCTGTTTCCTCAGCTCAGAGCCTGAGCCCAAACATTGATGAACTTGCACCCGAGATGAGATGCCAAGTCTCTGCTTGAACTAGCATGCAGAAGGATGTTTCCTTCTGCACTTTCTTTCTTGAGACAACAGGGCATGTTTGGTTTGTTCTTTGAGGGAAATAGTTTTGATGAAGCTGTTGTTGGCCTGTGGAAAAATGTAATCATAAGAAATGACTGGAAAAGCTGCAGATAGAGCCATAAGAAATGAATGCAACTGATTATTTAACGTTTAATGTTGTTTTTATAGGCAATCATTGAAGCTTTGTTAGTTCCTGGTTTAATACATGTATGTGCAATAAGTTCATTTCACGTTTTGCAATAAACATTGAACCAGTCCGGCCCTGGACTAGTACCGTTTTTTAAATGTTGGCTGTCTGTGTATTTGAGTTTAACACCCCTGCTCTAAGTGAATCACTGTTAAATATTGTCTCAGGATTTTCTCCCATTCAATCCTCATTTTTTGTGTCCCTTTCACCGAAAGACTCTTTATCACTCCGCCATTAGGGCCTTTTCTTCCCTCGGTCATATCCGAATGAGAAGAAGAAAGAGAGCGGAGCGCCTTTCAACAAACAGAACAATGACACTTCATCGAGATACTCGGCCTGTGTACATTCCACAAAATTGCACAATAACTTATCGGAGGTGAAAGGAGGAAGGGCGAAAAGAAAGATAGCTCGTATGAAAGAAAGGATAAAAGGCAGGGGAGATAGGGGCAGGGAGGTGAAGAGGTGATCTGTGTGTAGAAGAGATCTCCTGAGTTTGTTTCCTCTACTTTCTCAGTCTCTCTGAGGTCATGGTGAGGTTGCTTGGAAGGTGGGTGGGATGTAGATGTCAACAAACTCTGTGTGTCAATTTCAATTTAACATGACATACTTTTACACATACGAATGTGCTCATTTTCATTCCTCAAACGTGTGAGAGCCACCTGAAGTCTTTTATTTCTTACCGTCTTTCTCAACTCTCCAAAGCAAAGGGATATACATTTACAAAAGCTACATGAAACTCAATCTGAAAGTAGAGCTTGTCAGCAAACTTGATATTACAATTTAAGGCTGCTTCTTTTGGTTTGCAGTTCAAAAGAGATTAGGTATGCACCATTTAGTCATGCAGCTCTTGAGCCGGAATCAGCGGTGAGAGAGATCAGTCCAAAGGAAACAGGATCTCATCTGAGCTGATCCAGATCTGAGACCAGCTCATAAAACTGTCCCCTCTAATGGATCACCTCATTGAAGCACATACACTTGCACAGCACGTACATGTACGATGATGCACGCTAATATGTACCCGTACTAAAGGTAACGGCACATAACCAGGCCAGCACACTCCCCCTTCGTCTAAACACACACACACACACACACACACACACACACACACACACACACACACACACACACACACACACACACACACACACACACACACACACACACACACACACACTTTAACACCCTTTCATCAACACAGCTGCCTTCTTAGAAGACAAGTTGAGATTTAAGCTCATGAATCCATAATACAAATATTCATGCAAATTGTTTGCTGAACCGTGTCATATTTGCAAGTGTGTTTCAGTGCAAACAGAGCTGTGTGCACCGCTCCTAAGATGTGGACTGGCTCTCTCAGGAGAGCACACACACACACACATTCACCCCCCCTACCTCACCCCACACACACTAATAACATTCCCTCTTGCCCCCTCCAGCCAAGCCCAGAGCTTGACCTCTCCGTGTCACTCAATCCGCCGGGCAATGTTTGCTTTCGTCATCATAAATATTAAATATGCGCAGAGGCAAATATTTGGGTTTGGCGACCTCGAAGTGGTAAATGAATTAATGTATTCACAAGAGAAGGGCAGGGGAGTCAGGGTGTTCTCGCACACACTCGTCCTTTCAGCTTCTCCAGCGCTTTACCGTAAAGGCCTGTCAGTGGTCACGCAGGGGAAGACCCACAATTCCTGAGGAATGCCATGGAAAAGAGCCCCTGAAATGAAGGCGGGTGGTATCATTTTGCTTCAGGTCTTTGCTGTGGTGATACAATGTAACGACTAACATTGCGTGCGAAGAGTACATTAAATTCAAGAAATGAAAATTAAGTTTAACTGTGTCCATGCTTTCATTTAATACAATAAAAATAAGGAGAGATGTCCACGAAGAAGCGTCATCAGTAGGGGAAAACCCATAATGTGTAACAATTTGACTTACAAGGGACAGCAATTTGGTTCCTTTGTCATACTAGAGGTAGTACTGTCCTCCAAAACTATTTACAAATGTAAATCCACCAGATGTTGATAAAGATATGGTGGGTGATGTGTTAAAGGATTATCACCAAGTCCCCAAGTACTGTAGAGCGCCACCTGTTGAAGCAAATTCTCAGTGGCACAATGGTACTACAACTTCCTGTCAGTCACGTGCTGGAATTGGGCCCAACAATATGTTTTCCCATTGACTTACATTGGGAAATTGGGGCTAACTAACTACCTCAGCACTTGAATAGCCCTATCTTAATCAATAGATCTTAAAAGATGAGCAATGCGCTAAAAGCCAAATCCGGGTACTTTAGTTCTCCAGAGTGAGGCCATTTGGGCTTCATGCTACACCAACCAACACTGTATCCAGTTATCTATTATACATCCATAATAATGACCAGTGGAACACCTTCATTATACTGTCCTATTGTATGGCCTTCATCACAAACCTTGTCTTTAGACGACAGCTACATTTATCAGGTAACTAATACTACATATACACAAAACAAATTTTAATTTTCGGGTTGGTTATAAAAAGGACTGTCTAACCCCAACTTTAACCCTAAATCTAATTGTGGGTACATTTCTTAAATAAATGTACAATTTTGTGATTATCACATTATCGGGATGGTCAATGGCCCTCTCTGTCTCTGATGGGTGTGAATCAGAGGATGGGGTGGGGGTCTGGCGTCGTGGGTAAACTGAGAAGACCTGGCAGAAAGGCAATCCATAGCTGACCCCGGCCTCTGTGTATAATTGTGCCCTCTGACCCGGTGAACATCCTAAATCACCAATCCAAACATTGAGATCCCTTCAGTAAATACTCGGAGAGGAGCCCCTCACGGCACCCCGCTTCTCAAGCCTGCACGGTCCCTCTGAAACACACACACACACACACACACACACACACACACACACACACACACACACACACACACACACACACACACACACACACACACACACACACACACACACACAGCTTCTGTAGCCATGAGGCTGCATTAAACAAGGCCTCATTTCGAACACACACTCACCACAAACACACATTTATCAACACACACACCGACAAATCACAGTTCTTAAGGATCGGGTGGAAAGGTGACATCTGGGAGACCAATGTTTTCCTTCATCATCATCATCCTCACTTCCCAGTTCAGTGTGCCCGCCCTTCATTTGACCACTTTAGGTTCCCTTGTCTTGAAGGCAACTGTTTTTACTTTAAGCTAAGAGATGCTAACTTGTGTGTGCATCAAATACCTCGTCAACACTGCAGCCCTCTATTGAGTTTGATTCTTCTGGGTTGAATGCACATTTTGTAAATCGCTTTGGATTAAAGTGAGATGAAATATATTGTAAAAAGAAATGCTAGATTACCAAGTTTGTCAGAACAGAATGGAAGCCTTGGAGAACTTTTCTTCTGATGCGACGAGATCTCCCAAACTAGCAACTTCATGATATCTTTGAATAGGATACTTAATGTTATCGTTGTTCACTGTCTGTCTCACTTTAAGTACTAGACCATCACACTCCATAGGGATTCTGTTGGATACGGCTGAACATAAGAGGGCATGCCAGTTGTCTCTGATCACAAACAGAAGACACTCAGCACCCCTGTTTTTTTGTACCCAGGAGGACAGGATAGCAGCACTCAGAGAATGGAAGGATTTTAAGGAGGGTGGGAGGCTCAAACATTGTCGTTGGAAGGGTCTGAAGTAATGGCCCTCCTGGAGTGCCTGACAAAGACACCCAACAAGAGAGAGATGCACTGCATCAAACCAGGAGGACAAGAGGGGTTCAAAAAGTGTTCTCCCCTGGGGCCTTTCAGCCTGGCATCCCTACACCCTGGCCCAGCGGGGAAACAAGCTTCTTCACACAAACACAGTGGGAGGATGAGAGGATGGGCCGGATACAATGGAGGGAAGCTCTGAAGGACAGTGTGAGAAGGAGAAAACATGAGACACTGAATACTTCAGTCATTGTGGGGAGAGAGCGTCCGTTGTCACAAACTGAATAAGGTCACGGCAGCTGCTGTACAGTTCACTGGGTTGAAGGGATCCACCTTCAACAAACCAAATAGATTCGTGCATGAAAATTCTTTCGTCTCTGAAACAGTATCAAACTATTTTCTGTTCCTATTTCATGTGCTCAAACTTCATCATCACTGCAGCCACTGATGAGCATGTAGCTGCCATTCATTAAAATGCAGTATTGATGGAAACGCCAATCCGAGCGGTGCCAAGCCAAGCTGCGCTGTGCCAAGCCAAAAACTGCCCGCGTTGTAACCCTTCCTGGCACGCCAGCGGAGAGCATAATGTGAGTCAGGTCCAACCTCTCTTTTGGGTGCCAAGAAGAACTCCATGTAACCCAAAACACTGACGGGGAGCCAGTCCCAATGTGAATGTCCTCAAAGAAAACCAATAAAACAAGACTGTCATTGTGGCATCTCGGAGACCAGACAGCTCACCATGCACTTTGTAGTGTATACATCTATACATGACCGAATTAGATGGTTTACATTACATGCAAAGATAATCCAAAAACGTCCTCCACGAGCAACTGGTTTGGTCTGTCTATATATGTATCTTGTTTATTTGTAGTGAACATGTCTTTCCTGTCATTCTGTCTATTCGCGTATCTGCTGTCTGTCAGCGTGGAGCTCTTGAAGCTGTACAATAACTTAATCAAAACCACCGGGGCTCTTTCTCTAATAAATGAGAACTCTCACTTGTGTCTGTTTATCTGCATGGTGTCATTGGGTTTATTGCAAAGTGGAAAAGTCTTCATATAAAACCAAACACACCATGTACTCATCAAGGAGAAAGGGATGGCAGAGGGGAGAGAGAGAGAGAAATGAGTGTGAGTGTTTCTGCTTTAGCTTTTTAAATGACTGAGGAAACATAATCTGCTTTTTGTTTTATAGAAACATTTAATTAACAAAATGATCCTAACAGGTTACAGCTGGGTTTCCCACTCTCGCTTTCGCCTTTATTGCGTGTGGGAAATGCATTTCCACTTTATCCAGGCTGCGTCAGATTTATGGATTTTACAATTGTCTCCTCATACACTCAGCACTTCCCATGACTTCTGCCCACTGCCAGCAGACGGTTGCAGAGCTTAACGACAATGGAAATGTAACCCTGAATCAACCGGTTGGAATAATTGTACCCTCGAAAGAATGATAAAAAATATATATTTTCCAAATTATCAAGATAACTGGAAGTTAATAGCCTCTGGATATATTGTTCGGAAAGAGTGTTTATAAGATTTTTCCTCTTCTACTTCATAGTTTATATAAACAAACAAAGTTTTAGCATCAAGCGAATATCAAATATTATGGCGTCATATTTTTTAAAAGCAGTTCAGAACCAAACCGCACAAACATGGCCCATATTTACTGAGCACAAACACTGTAAAGCAGAATTTAATATGCTCGCTACGTCTCAGCCACGATTTAACACCGAGCCAGGCACTATGTCCTTCATCACAATGCACACGCACGCACGCACGCACGCACGCACGCACACACACACACACACACACACACACACACACACACACACACACACACACACACACACACACACACACACAAAGAAAGAAAGATCCAGCGAGCGAGACGTGGAGGGGAGGAAATGGAAATATATATTTCAGAGGTTCACAGAAGACCTCAAAAAGTAGACCGTATGAGTCAGAGTTTGAAAATCAATTCTGACGACACACCTGTTTGCTCCTTCTTTGCAGGAGTTTTTGAAAAGACATCATGCATGTCTCAAAATGTCATTTCCTGTCACTGGAGAAGCATGAGAAAAGGCTTTAAATAAGAGCAACTGATATGGGCAGAAAACATGAGCGCTGTTCACATGTTTGAGAACCAAACAAGGAAGTAATGCAGGACATTGTTCAGAGTGGGGACGTGACGCGGGGAGCAATCACAATCTAATCTGTCTCAAAGACCGAGGATACATACAAATGACCTGATAAGAAACACTCAAACGGACGTTCAAAGTCACCCTTAGAGGAGGGTGCTAATGGAAATGCTTCAATGTTAAATAACTGTAGGTCACACTGCATACATAGACACGTGTGAAAACTGTAAAAAACTAAATGCAAACGCCTTGGAAATTATTCATCTCAAGAATGTAGCTTTGAAAATGCCTCTTTTTCATGAAAACTACATGTGAGATTCTATTTTAAGGTTTGTGGAACAAAAGAGATGCTGAATAGGTGCTCCTTTAAATATAACTTCAGTCTAAGGCTGAACGATTTGGAAAAATGAACCCAGCCCCCCCCCCCCGATTCACGAGGTTGAAGGTACTGGTTTTATTTACATCATTAATGTCATTCATCACTAAAAATATGTTCAAATGATTATGGTGTGACTTTGTTAAGAGGATGTTTACCAAACACATATGTATGGTAATGGGTTAAGGCCACATGCAAAACAAAATTTGAGATCTGATCGATAGTGATTTTCTTTTAGTTTTGAGATTAAAATCAGAAATGTGACTTAAATCTCAGAAATAATAAAATGCGGCCTTAATCCTCTTCCGTAAATATGTTTTGTTGATTCTGTAAAATATGACTGTAGTCGGGGACATCTCTGCAACTCCACAATACTTTTCAAATTTATTTATTATTCTCCCTCCTGCAATTTCAATATCACACCCAAATTGAGATTTTGATTAAATATTGATTACTTGTGCACACCTGCTTCAGTCTCATATCATGTGGGAATCTTTGCCATTGTAAGTCCAGTATCCATCCTTTGGTACAGCTGGTGTGTGAAGCCCTGTATTGACAGCGTACCTGTGTCCGCCTTCTTTTCTTTAAACAAGGCACATGGTGGATGGAGGGGGGGTGTCAGGGGGCTACGCCCGCTGTGCCCGGCCGTTCTTTATGAATGAATTAATCAATAGTGACACTGCACTACATGCTTTTTCCTTCCTCATTATTTTAATTAGCCGTTTATATGGATGCCCCCTCCTTCCTCTTTTGCATTTCATTAATACATTCACATGAACTTGACAAAAAGAGCAAGGACGTAGACACGGTGGCGGTCGCTTGGCTGGTCACTTTGTAGTCTCCCGCCTCTCCAACAGTCTTACCCTTTCCGTCCTGCCCCGAGCTCTGCTGAGCGACTTCTAGGAAAGTCACGAGTAATTACTGTTATATTATGCTAATTAGCATGGGTTGCACTAAACGCACTTCAAGCAACAGATGCTCACGTGCAAAGTTGCCAACAAAATGAATAGCGTCTCAGATTCCTTCTTTCCCTACTCCATTGGGTTACTGCAAGAGGACATACTATGCACGTTTTCAGGTTCATATTGTGTGTCTCTACTGGGACATGTCTCCATGCTTTAATGTTCAAACAGCTCTTCATTTGTCTCATACTGCCTGTGCTGCAGCACCTCTTTTCACCCTCTGTCTGAAACCAGAGCCCAGTCTGCTCTGATTGGTTAGCTGGCCGGCTAAGTCAACCGCTTAGAGATGTCCCGCCACTTAGCCTATCACTTACAATGTGTAGGAGCTCTAGCCAATAGAATGGCGGGTGTTACATAGTGATGTCACTATGTTCCGAGAGTAAATTCCAATAGAGGAGTTTCAGGGCGGGGGCGGGGAGCATGTGGGAGAGAACACAGCCTTATAGCCTGTGTGGACCATTAACATGCACAAACCTATATAACACACTAAAAAAAAATCGTAATAGGGCCTCTTTAATAATCCTGGGACAAAGAGGAAAATCACACCATGTTAACACACACTGTGGGTCAGTGTCATTAGCTTCCATCAAGACTCCTTTACACACTTCCTGTCTGCTAAACCATGGGAAAAATGTAAAAAGTAAACAAATGTCATCCTTTCCAGGGGTGGCTGCGGGGGGAAATGGGGCGCTGCGGGTGTTTGTGGGTGAGTGAATGTGTGTGTTGTGAGTGTGTGGCAGCTGTGCATATGAAAGACAGGGTAGACTTGTGCATTTGTGGAGCTGTAAGCGTGGACGTGTGAGGGTGTGTGTTCCAGAGTGGGTGCGTGTGGGTGTGTGTTAAGGCGTGTGCAGTCGCTACGGTGATGAGGTGAGAATGATGAAGCCCATTCCTCAAGTAGGGCACCATGTGCGGCTCATATGTTGGGTCTTTGTTAAAGAGTTGCTCATCAGAACCTTTAAACACACACACACACACACACACACACACCAGTGTGCTAACGCCTGCAGGCACAGAGTGATTGACAGGATCCAGATTGCCAGATTGTTCTCAGGAGTGTGGAGAAATGACATCACACTCATTACAACTTCTAAATATAAACACACACTGCATGACTGACAAGTCTGTATACATGCATGTGTGTCTTTTTCTGTGTGTATAACTTTCATGGTTAGTGTGTGAAAATGTGATTGTGAATGTGTGCCAAATTGCATGTACATGTCACACCGCGTTACAGTTAACTTTAAAACTTTAGTAATTATTCTCTATCTGCCTGTTATTGACATTCTGCTCTGATTGGTTAGCTGACCGGCTCTGTTGTGATTGGTCAACCGCTTAGAGATGTCCCGCCCCTTAGCCTATCACATACAATGTTTTGGAGCGCTAGCCAATAGAACCGCAAGTATGACATTGTGATGTCAGAATTGTAGCTTTTGCAGACCATTTACATGCACACAAACCTTTAACACACTACAGGGAACGGAAGACTCCAAAAAAGCATAATCAGGCCTTTTTAAAAATAAGTGGGTTGGGGTGTCAAACTCAATTTCATCGCGGGCCACATTAGCATTATGGTTGCACTCAAAGGGCCGGTTGTAACTATATAAATATACATATAAATATATAATATATATATATATAAAATAATGTATTATATTACATGATTGCCTCTGAATTGGATTATTATCGGATAGGATAATAACTTAGTAATTAACTACGTCTGAAAGCAGAAGTCTAGGGCAAATCATTGCAAGTCTCTTCAGTGCACATGTCACAAAACGAGATGCATTGTGGGACATGTAGTTTATGGGCAACCTGCTTCTGTAAAGTGGCATGTAACCGTATAATAAACGTATTATATTCTTTGCAAGCTCTTGCAGGGCCACATAAAATGAAGTCGCGGGCCGGATTCCGCCCCCGGGCCGTGAGTTTGACACCCCTGGGTTATATGTTTGTTATGGCGTGAGCAAGGTTTACTAAAAATAGTTAATTGGTAGTTTAGGAAGGAGGACAAGAGCTTGTATGCAAATAACTTGCTGGTAAAGTAACTTGTTATACCCATATCAGTAAAATAGAGAGACATTCCAAAAGAGTATTCCCAAAAGTAAAACTATCTAACTGCATGCAAGACTAGCAGGATGGCACACACACGCTCACACACACACACCCACACACACCATATGTTTTTGGGCTGCTGCTGAGATGAAGGCCTCTCTAGCTTGTCTGGCCCGCACATTGTAATTTACAAGCGCTCAATGTCACGTTGAGATCTCAATTAAGCAGCGCGGCTACACACTCGGGCCCTCAGGGTGGAGCGGGGCCCACATTCTGCTCTCTGGCCCAGGCACACTGCAGAGTGGTGTGTGCTCCTCCACCCACCCCACCTCTCCCTCCCTCACCCGCCGCCAACAGACAACGCCAACAGTAAATATTTGAGGTTGGAGACAAAGAGGGGAGAAGGGATTCATTTAGCTCATTTGAAAACATGACATTGTGATTAAAAGTCAGGCGGTCTGGAAAGCGAGTCCATTGCATTCTTTACTTGTTCTTGGATCATTTTCCTTGAAGCTCCAGATGTACTGCTGAACACAAGTATGCAAAAAACTACAAGCAAAATCCACAAAATGAAAGTGGGATATACTCGTTTATTAAAAAGCTAAAGGGGAAGCAATTAAAAATGAAGTTTAAAAGGATATGAGTTCATGAAAAGAGGGGGGAGAGAAAGAGAAAGACAACTAAAAGATTAATTAAAAAATATATTTGTGGAGCACATAGAAAAGTTTGGATTATTTGAAGCCAATGCGGTAACACTTAAAGAGGCCTTATCCATGCTTCTATTGGCTAGCGCTCCAACATCTCTAAGCGGTTGACCAATCACAACAGAGCAGGCCAGCTAACCAATCAGAGCAGATAGGGCTCTGGTTTGGTGCTACAATTAAAAACCTTTGTGAATATTAAAGCATGGAAACACGTCACAGTAGAGGCACAAATACAAATATGAACCTGAAAATGAAAATAATAGAGCCCCTTAAAAATGGTTCAGCTCATTGAAAACTATCGTACACACAGGAGTCCTGCTTGTTGAGTTTCTTTCTTCATTGTCGAATGCACTTATTGAAGGTCACTTAGGATAAAAAAGTATAATGTAATGAAAAGAAAAAAAAACAAGTTCTTAAACACAGAGGCACAGAGCGACACATCCAGACATGCAGAGAAACAGAGCTACCGACTGAAGGAACTACAGAGACACCATGTGCTGGAGTAAAAGCCCATAAGCTGCCACTACTGTTCTGTGATCAGATCCATATGGACCTTGGCCTTGGCCCTCCACCACCTGCCTCCCAGCACCTAACAAGCCAGCCTGCCTCCAACCGGTCCCAGACACATTTTACAAGCGGCCATATTGATGGCTATTGAGCTCGAGTGCTATTTAGCTCACCAGAAATATTAAATTATACACTCGAACCCCCCCCCACGCAGGGAAGGAGGCCACATCAGAGATTCCTCTACCAGGCCTTGGCTCTGACTTAAAGTCCTAAACATGACACACTAGGGTAAAGCTGAGATGGGGATATTTCAATCTATCAAAGAATGTGGTCTCTTACCATGTTTTGCCTCGGTGTGAATAAAATATGTGCCTTTTAATTGGCTCTTACTATTAAATAAAGTCAAATTCAACTTTATTGTCAATCTTCTAGTTTGTGTATACAGACAGAGAGATCGAAATACCGTTTCCCACCATCCCGAATGTAAAAACAAATGTATACAAAAATATGTGTGCAAATATGTATATATATACACAAAATCAAAGACACATTTGTACATGTGCACACATTAAGACCTAAGACCTCGTCCATATTAGACGAATATCTCCTCTTGAAACCGTTAAAGAGAAATTGAGGTATTTGCTAAGTGGGCAAATAAATCTGAGAAGCACTGGGAATTAAAAACATCGAAAACCTCGAAAGAAAGTCTCTGATGAAGCCCACATGACAGAATAAAATCAAAGCATCATGCTGAATAAAATGTCCTGCATGGTTCTGTTTAATAGAGGATGCTGCTGCTGTACTTCAGAGGCCTCCAGGAGCCGAGGGCCACAGTGAAGGCACATGGGCGTTGAGCGGGGCCACAGCTCCTGATCATCCTAACAAGCTGCAATTACAGCCCTGAAATCCACTCTTACTGCAGCGGCTTTAACGAGCAAGCCATCACGCAGCCCACAATTATCATCACCAGAACTATTAAACGCCACGGCTACAGCCTCGTTAAACGCTCTCATATGTGGAGGACGCAGATTCCTCTCAGGACACCGGCCCACAGACAAACATTATTACAGAGCTGTGTCTCTCTCACATTCCTGCACACTTTCTCTGTGATGTTCACCTTTTTATCTCTCATTGAAAAAGCTTCCTATGGTGGGCATGTCCCAGTTAGGTCCCACTGGGTTTACGGTGTCTTCAGTGAACTCACAGGATGAGAGCAATGAGGGAGAACGTAAGGCCCTTCAAAGAAAACTTGTGCCAACTGTCCATGCAGCCGGTTGGAGTTGCTCCTTCTAGATTTGTACTGCTTTCAACTTTTACTTTTTACATTTGATATTACGACTTGTTTTTTTGTTTTTTTTAAATCAAGCCTTGCACTCTCTAGACCAGGGGTGTCAAATTCAATTTCATCGCGGGCCACATTAGCATTATGGTTGCACTCAAAGGGCCGGTTGTAACTTCAAGACTATATCAAAATACATATATAGATATTTAATATATATATAAAATAATGTATTATATTACATTTTTGCCTCTGCATTGGATTATTATGGGATAGGGTAATAACTACATAATTAACTACGTNATCCCACTTCCAAATGCAAGTACACACACACATAGACACAATCACACACACACACACACACACACACACACACATACACATACACACACACACACACACACACACACACATACACACACACATACACACACACACACACAGACATTTGTGTGTTAAGACTTTACAGACACTTTTAAACAAAACATTTTGTATTAGACACGTTTCATATTGTATGTCTTTTTATTATTTGGTATTTAATTCTTTTTAAAATTATTATTATTACATTTTTTTTATCATTTTTTGTTATTCTAAAATGGAAAAACTTTCACAAAACCAAATTTTCCCACGATAAATAAAGTATACTTAGGCCACGTTTACACGGAGAAGCAACGGGTTGTATCCGCTACATTTCTCTATCGTATGGACGGTTCGTCCACACGAGGCCGTAACGGAACCGCGGAAACAGAGCCTTCAAACGGTGGGTAGATATGCGGACAAAACGCTCCGGGGGGCCTAACGGCTCCGTGTGTACGTCCTATACGATCATTTCCTAATAACGACGATGCCATAGCCCCGCCTCTCCCCACCTCTCCTGCTCACCACCGCGTCACCCGCGTCATTGCTGATGTATTTTCGCCAATAACCTCTGCTGCTTACTGCTGTAGCATGGTCAGTAGCTACTGTCTGCTACCGACCATGCTACAGATGTTAGTGCAAAATATACAGCTCCTCTACCGCAACCATCAGCAACAAGTGGACATGGAGAACTACNACTTGCAATTATTTGCCTCATACTTATGCTTTCACACGTAGTTAATTATGTAGTTATTACCCTATATTACATTTTTGCCTCTGCATTGGATTATTATGGGATAGGGTAATAACTACATAATTAACTACGTGTGAAAGCATAAGTATGAGGCAAATAATTGCAAGTCTCTTTAGTGAGCGGGTCACAAAATGATTTAAAAAGAAAAGCCAAATTCTGGAAAAAAAGTCAAATTCTAAGAAAAAAGTCTAATTTGAGATGCATTGTGGGACATGTAGTTTATGGGCAACGTGCTTCTGTAAATCGGTATGTAACCGTATAATAAACATATTATATTCTTTGCAAGCTCTTGTGGGTCCACAGAAAATGAAGTCACGGGCCGGATTTGGCCCCCGGGCCCTAAGTTTAGCACCCCTGCCTAGGCTTTCCTGTAGAAAAAGATTTAGGTTGTTTTTTTCACCGTTGAGTTTCTACTTTTGCCCGGCAACCCCAGGGCTGTTTTATTTACACCAAAGAGAAGCTAATCATGCTAAAGCCTGCTAGAAGGGCTGTCTCCACTGAAATCTGGAGATGGACAAAGAGGATGCTGGGTAAACCGAAGAGACAAAGGAGCTACAAGTTGTGTCGCGTCCCTCTAATTATTGCAACACAAGATCCCTAGTGAACAGAATGGACGAGTTAACAGCGAGAAACAGAAGTCAGACGGAATATCTGGAGTTTAATGTGCTTTACGGACAAATGGCTGCACCGGGATAGATTACCATCGATAGCTTCTTTGGGCCGAAAATGGTATTGTATTGAGAGCTCCACTATGTATTGACTATAGAGAGAAGAAGTCCCGCCCATCTACTTCCGACCCATGGGACCTTATTTCGGAATAATTATGTATTGAAGTGGAGAGAGAAAGATGATCTTTCGATCCCATTTGAATTGTGCCATGAATTACACATATGATGTTTGTCAATCTTAAAAAATAATTTCCATGTCAAATAAGTCACAGTTGGTCGTAAAACTGTTGAAATATAAGACATATGAAAAATACGCAACTAGAAGACTACAAATCCAGAGTCCCGGTCCACGCATGCTGGTCTACGGACCGACTAACTCCCCTGTGTGTGTGTACAGCTCTCCAACATTGCCCAGACTTGGAGTGATTTCACCTCTTTTAATGACTTTATCGGCTCATCTGAAAGAAAGAGTGAAAATGTGCCAACGGACGGCCATCTTGATTGTTGTGCGAGACGGGGACGATGTAGGTTCATTGAGCGTTTCACACAACAAAAAGTGTTTACTCAGAGTTTACGACACATTTCTTTTTTTTTTTGACTTGAAAATTATCTTTTAAATGACAAACTATCATATGTGTAATTCGTGGCACAATTCAAACTGGATCGAAAGATAATCTTTCTCTCTCCATTGACTTCAATACAATACTTTTTTTCCGAAATAAGGTCCCATGAGCTCCCCGGAGAACGGGAGGACTTCGCCTCTCTATGGAGCCTGAGTCCTTCAGAGAGCCCTTGGCTGTAGAGAATGCCCTGCATGTTTTTGCGTCTGTTCCTGACACCTTTTTTTATTGCAAAAACTACGCTGCTTATTGGTGCAAACATGGCTTTGAATTATTCCATTTAATGATTTGATAATGTAAGAAGGTACATTGTAGTACCAGCAGATCTAAACCTAGATTAGGCTGCCTCGTACGCACTTCAGAGAGGATTGCAGGTAGCATTTAGAACACATTTGTAAAAAAAGAAAAATATATTTTGCACCATTCAGATGTAATTGTGGTTTCTTGAGAGAGAGAGAGAGAAAAATTCCTTATGGGAAAGGTGGGACCTTTGCCTCAGCTGGGATCAAATCAAATTACAGAGCTCTCTTCACTCTCTGAAAAAAGAGAGTCTGAGAAGGTTGTAAAGAGGAGTGTAAGAAGTTCGCTATGACAACATGCTAACAAAAATCATAAAGTAATTTGTCCTGTACTGGCCCACCGGTGCAGTACGAATGGGCTGCGTAGTGTGTCAAATTGACTTCTTTCTGAGTGTTTGTGAAACAGTGTTAATTTAAATAGCGAAAGATTAGAAACAGATGTGCGCGTCAAGCCTTGTGATATTATAAAGAAAACAAGTCACAGGAGGGGCATTGTGTTGGGGGGGGGGGCAGTGCGCCTGTCAGGTCGTGCACTTGGACAGTGCAGCAGATCAGAGATGGCCACGATGCTTCCTCGGGGAGTGTGGGTGGATGGTTTGGCTGGCCCAGACCGAGGCAGACCGAGGCCAGGGAAGGATCGGGGGCCGGAGCCAGCTCAGAGAGAGGAGCCTCTGTGAAGCAGAGGCGGCCTCTCAGCTGCTGCTGTCCAAAAATCCCCTCATAGCGAGCTACTTAGACCTCCGCTTACAGCCACTTTCATTTAGGTAAATGAGTTTTATAGTAGCGCTGTTACTTTGTATAGTTAGGTGTTGCAGGTAGACAGAGAATGCGTCGACATCTCGGTGGAAAATAAATCATAAGGAGGCCTATAGCCTACAGTATTCCAGGCATATTTGCATTGACTCGGTCACGCATACAGTAGGACATACTGTAGTTACAGGGGTCTTACGTCCATTACAAACCTGGAAAAGTCATGGAAATCAAAATGCTTAATTCCCAGGCCCTGGGAAAAGTTATGGAAAACAATATTTTTTGGGAAGTCATGGGAAATGTAACTAAGGTTGCATCAAATTAATTTATATTTTATACTAATCGCCGAAATAGTTAATAGACTATAATGATAATAATAACTACATATCGTAGTAA